CACACACACATGTTTGTTCTGATATATGTAGTAGTGAGGAACATGCATCGCTACTCTGTCCTCAACCATCGCCTCCATTTTGGAGGTCTGGGCTCCATCATCTACTCACAGGTGGCTGTTTGTTTGCGCAGGTAATGCCATCAGCTGGATGGGGAGCCCCGGGTCGGTGCCCTCAGAGCCCACTCACCCTCCCTCCCCCAGACCCTCGCCTCTGGTTCATAAGGACGAGATGCTGAGCAGGAACCGTGTGCCTGAGCTCAACAACGACGTGAGTAAACCATTTTCCTGTTTCAGATTTAACCCGACTCACTGCCCGCCACTTTAGAACTCGTCAGAACTTTCTTGTCGTCAGTTCCTGGTTGCTTTTCAAGGAATATTTAGTTTCCTATTTATCTAGCAGACCATTGACCTAGAACCCAGACCCAGCCTCCTGGCACTGAGCTCTGTGGTGTTTCTAAGGTGTTCCTTCTAAGGTCGACCCTCAGATTTCTGATGACTTGTTAGGACAATTGTTTTCTGTAAAAGGTAGAATGTTGTGCTGTACAGTAGTAGCCATTCAAAATCTCCCCACTTTCCTTGATGGGTTCTTGGCTGGTCCTTGGCTGGTCCTTGGCTGATCCTTAGCTGGTCCTTGGTTGGTCCCTTACAATTCCTTTTTAAACATCACTCTTTGTACTAAAATGTTCTTTCTTTCATGATTTGTGGACATTAAAATCTAAAGAGAAGCATCACCTCCTGGTCAGACCCTGTAATTCAGTGATAGGGTGGAGTCAGAGTAAACCATTTGCACGCCTAGGAAAAGGCCAGTGGCTAGAAGTTGGAGGGGATTTTGCTGGGAGTCGCAGGGGAGTGGCTGCCATTCGGCTGTCTTTTGACTGGGAATGGCCGTTTTGAATGGCTGCAACTGTAACAAAAAACAAAGTCATTTTCTCACCTGTCCAAAACATGTTTTCAAGAAGGACTGAAGTTTAATTCAGTTCAGTTTGTCAAAAGAACCAATTCACCACGAAGGCATCACATCTTCCAGTCAGATTAAAGGTTAAAGGTTTCAAAGAAAAATCAGCTGCTTGGATCTCGTCATTGGGCAGGATGAGCATGTAGAGACAGTAGATATTCACTTGCATCGTGTGATTAACTCACACTGAACCTGCATGCACTGACACTAAAGAGGAAAAACTCCCTTTGAACAGGAAGAAACCTCCAGCAGAACCAGGCTCAGTGTGAGCGGCCATCTGCTGAGGCCGACTGGGGTTCAAGGAGACAGAAGCAGACATAGAAAAGAACATAGAAGCACTGATCCATTATCACTTCCTATGTTAGAAAAGCTAATGGTAAACTAGCTCCACTGGTTGCTGTCTGGGAATGAAACAGTTAATCAGACGAACTCTCAGCCAGTTCTCATGTCAAAGGATAAAAGAGAGAATATCCAGTTAGTCATAGTGGAAACTGAGCCCATAGCCAGGAGAGAAACAGGACTACACTGAAAAGCAGGCCGATCTCCAACATCTATAAACAAAGGTGTTGATGGCAGCAGCACAGCTGATATTTCTCTCCAGGATGGAGTCACAGCCAAACAGGAACAGACCAGATGAAGCTACTATGAGAAAAAGCAGAGAGAGCAGAACGTTAGAGATTGAACTAACAGATTCTGCAGAGTGGGAGAATAGAGATAGAATGAAGCAGAATGATGAAAAAGGGGTCCCTATGTCCTCCAGCAGTCTAAGCCTATAGCAGCATAGCTATACTCATACATTTCGGCAAACTCTAGTTTAGCTATTTTATGTATCTGTTTTCTGTGTGGTCCTCCTTGGTCTGCTGTTGTTTCCTCAGATTTTGAAGTTAATTTTAAAGTTTACAGTGACACCTGTGTCAACTTTAAAGATTTTTGAGGCTTATTCACCATCCAGACTATCAAATGACACTTAGCCTCAGTTTTAATTTTTTGTAATAATTTTGCAAACTGCAGACAAAGAAACACTGAGATCTCTGGAAATAGACCCGCTATCTTGATGCTGTTGGGGCTTTTATCACAATCTGGTTTATCCTTTCCTCCTGCAGTTCTGCTCTTTATTCTTAGTTTTTTAGGCACAAACACAAAACTAAGATTAACCCGACTTGCCACAGCTGAATGTATTAAGCATCATTTGCTTGAAATGATGCTTAATACCCACAATATATAATATAATAAATGATGCCGTGTATTTTGTCTATACTACCATTTTTTGAGTTTTGTATAAACTGATTTCAAATTAGTACTTTTTGTTAAATATTTTTAATTTTCTGTTGTCCTAAAACACACCTAGGGGATAAACAGGTCTATAGAAAACTATGTGTAAAAGCAGCAACTTTCTGGGAGAAACTTTGATGAAAATATCAAAGAGAATTTCCTCCAGGACTGTATACAGAATGAATGTCTCTCCAAACATACTGATCTATTCACAGAATATTGCAATTTCCGCTTGAAATGTGTAATGTTTAAAACAAAACACAATAACACCAAAAAAAAATAACAAGTTAGTTAGTTAGTTAGTTAGCATTAGTTTGCTAAATCAGGAACTGATTTCAGTTCAGACATCAATTTAGGACAAGAAAAACGGAAAGGCTCCCAGGAGCTCCATCTGATCCAACAGAATTGCGGAGAATAAGATATCAAAGCTGTTAGAGAGACAGACCAAAGGCTTCAAGCATGTATAAAAATGTGTGTCATGCTTCCAGATTAATATTTGTAGAGCATCATTCCGTTCCGCTCTGCGGTTCGTTGTGTTTGTCTGAAAACCAGAGCACCAGAGGGCTGGAGTCCTGCATCCTGTCAGGACTCCAGTGAAGTTCTACTGACTCCTGGTAATGACCCCATAAGACATACTGAGGCAACAGGAAGCAACCTCCTCTGCTCTGTTTCAGAAACTATACAGCTGTCTGGCCATCTTGTTGGGGTGGGGTGGGGAGTTAAAGGGTCTGTATTGAGTGAAAAAGATCCCTGTTTGTTATATGATGTGAGAAAATGAGATCCCAGTAGAACCAGTACCAGGACAGAGGCAGGAAACAATCTCCCATTTTGGTTTATTCCTAAATGAAGTTAGAAGAATTCAGGTCATCCAGTTCATAGTCATTTCTAAAAAAAAGTTGAGGAAGGTCAAAGTGTATTTCTAGGAGACGAATAAGCTCATCAGAAAGTGGGATGTAAATTCTTCTAAAACTGTTAAAAAACAATCCATTGGACTTTGTTTCCAGGTTTGAAGACGTTTCTCTTCCATCCAGGAAGCTTTTTCAATTCAAAATGTCAGAAATAGTGTTGAGTTCCAGGTTTTATCCAGCAGCACAACAAAGCCTTGTTTTTGCTTAGAAAACATTCAAATAGAAACGGATGAACTGGTCCCCCCCTTTGGAATTAGGGTCGTTTGGCTTCTTTGTTAGCCTGCAATGCCCCATACCTGTCTATGTCTCTGAAAGGGGGGTCGTTAAAAAAATTCCTAAGGACAAAACCCCCAGAACCGATCTGATTGGAGTGGTGTCTGCAGTTCAATGCAGTGAGGAATGCTGTGATCTTTATATTGGAGAAACCAAACAACCTCTCCACAGACGCATGGCCCAACACAGAAGAGCGCCCTCCTCTGGACAGGACTCTGTGCTACATCTACACCTTATGGACAAAAGACATTCTTTGGAGGAGCAGAATGTTCACAATTTGGATAAAGAAGACAGGTGGTTTGAGAGAGACGTGAAGGACGCCATCTATGTTAAGAAAGAAAAACCAACCTTAAACAGAGGGGGGGGACTCAGATTTCGACTTTAAAAAACCTGCAATGCAGCGATAGAGTTGATTCTTTTCCGCTATCATTGCAACCCCAACCCCTTTACAGGAGAACAGAAGACCTCACCTATTCAGCCAGGCCAACAATTCCCTCTAACGACCCCCTTTCAGAGACATAGACAGGTATGGGGCATTGACTGGCATAAAATCAAATACAAACAGCGTAAAAATAAAACAACAAGCCGGTCCCATCTAGGCGTCATCGGAGACAATGACACACGAATTGTGCTCCTGATGTCCAGTCTGCTCCGTAGCTTTGTTTTGGTCGCTGTAACTGCAGAAAATCCCGCTTCACAAAGATAGGATGTTATAGATAGGATGAGTCTTGAACTAATCTAACCAGTGCACCGACTGATGTAATTGGGAGAGAATACCGCAATTTTATATATTTTTCAAAATAAAACATCTCATCATATATACTTTTTTCTGTGCAGCCGGGTACCAAATGACCCACGGACCGGTACCGGTCCGCGGCCCGGTGGTTGGGGACCGCTGCTGTTGTATACTGTGATTTGTAGATTTGCTTTTGGGGAGGTTGTGGTTGATCTACGCGCAGCACTCAACCTGCTGAACTTTGGTGAACAGCTTTAACAGCTTAAACTTTGACTGAACCCTGAGATTTAGAGGACATGTTTACTGAGACTGCAAGTCTGAGTTCCTGATCTTGTTTCTGCTCCCTAGTGCAGTATCAGCTGTTGTAACCAGGGACCACTGATTTCAATAAATAGCGAGGAGAACTCTGGGACCACAGAGTGGGTTGGAGATTTGTAAGCTCTGCAGTCTCTTCCTACTCTCCTCGCTAGTCAAACTAAATTAATTGTCTTTGTGCCTTCTGTCTTTCCCTGTATGTATGTATGATGTTTTAGGTGCTTAGACCTGATATTTACCACCCCTACCGGGGAGGGCAATAAACATCTTAAAGTATCAGAAATATAAATTCCCAGCTGGCTGGGAATAGAATAGAACATAAAATCACTACATTAATTGGCATCCTACCTGGATGTGCATTGAACTTAATATCCCAAAACTAACAAAGAAGCCAAATGACCTCCATTCCAAAGTGGTAGACCTGTTCATCTGTTTCAATTTTCATGTTTTCTAAGCAAAAACAAGGCTTTGTTGGGCTGCTGTATAAAGCCTGGAGCTCAACGCTATTTCTGACATTTTGAATTGAAGAAGCTTCCTGGATGGAAGAGAAACATCTTCAAACTTGGAAACCAAGTCCAGTGGAATGTTTTTTAACTGTTTTAGAAGAATTTATGACTGTCGTGAGCTTATTTTTCTCCTAAAGATTTGACCTTCCTGACCTGCAAGATCCAGATTGTTTGTACCGCGGAACGTCCATCCAGGGGATTTCAGTCTTTCTGAGCTGGACTTTGCCTGTAAAGGCGATCAGATCCTCCCACCTGGCTAACAGCTGAGTTTTGGCCCGTCTGTGTTTTGGTTTCGGCGCTGTTTGCCTGCTGTCTGCCAGCCCGGTTATGTGCAAACTGTGGCGTGGGCGCAGACACGTGCTGGAAAGCAGCAGGAACACCTACAGTCTGAGAGCCCGGGCTTCTGGCTGCCCTTGTCCAGCTCTGATTCTCCAACGCGCTCCAATCCAATAACTGGCCTAGCTGTGGCAGCCTTGGCCGTGGCTCCTGCCTCTTCGGTTCCAGGCGCTGCCGGAGATAATGTGGGCCGGCAGACAGGAGGGAATTCCAGCTTTGCTCCAGCGGCTCGCTCTCTCCTCCTGCCTCGCTGCCTCAGTGTCGCTCTACCAGAGAGCAGATTAGATGAGGTGTTTGGCTGCTTGATTACTATGAATTTATTCATACCCATATGTCACCTGCCTGTTTTCCTCTCCCTGAAATCCTCTTCCTTCCTCTTTCCTGCATCCTCCTTTCAGTTCTCCTCCTTTTGTTTGTGTTTTCCTAAAGCCTGCGGTGGATGGACCTGTGCCTGGTCTCATCAGTCTGTCACTCAGACACTCATTTCGTCTCCCTTCAGCTAACACATTTCAGGGAACTGAAAGTTTCTCCTTGAAGTTTTGATCCCTGAAACTTTTCTCTGCTGTAGATTCTTCAGAGGATTTGGGATTTTATCCTCTTTGATTGTCTTTTGATGACTCGTTGTCTCTTTTACAGATAAACAGTTTATTCGTCCCCTTTTAAAAGACAACATAAAATATTTTTTAAAAAGCTCATCCTTTGGTGCTTACAGAAAATATTTAACAATCAGTTGTTCTAGAAATCTCCCTCCTGATAGAAAAAAGCTCAAATCCTTTGATGTAAATGTTGCTAAAAGTATTTGTCAGACGAGCACCGTTCTCCTGGGAACCACCAGTTCCAGACTTCATTCAGAGATGCTCCTCTGGTCTGCAGCCTGGTGGTGGGATCCTGCACATTGCTGCATTTGCAGACCAAGCTTTGATTGTTCCAGGTCCCCTCGACTTTGTCATAACATCTCTGAGGATGATGCTGAGGAGATCTATGGACCGAACCTGTAGCCCAGAGGGCCTTCTTAACAGAACCACCCAGGAGTTCACTGAGATCCTGAGAGTGACCCTTTTTTTAACAGATTTTTGTAGAAACAGTCTGGATGCTCCGGCGATACACTGCAAACAAATTATCTAAGCAAGTAAATTTTTCTTAGAACGAAACATTTTCTTTCTGAAATTGAGGAGGGAAGTGGGACACTTTGCCAAAGGAATAAGAAAATTCACATTTAAAATAAGAAAAAAAATTGTTCCATTGGAAAATCATCAAAAACTGCTCAGATTAAGCCCAAAAACAATATATTTTGGAAATTTGTACTTATTTTTTTACATCATTTTTGCAGTGTGTCCTCATGTTAAACAAAAACTGAAGCAAACAACCAAAGTTAGAGATCGGACCTGCATAAAGTCAGACACCAGTGAAACAAAGGCGACGTTTCACCGATAATGACAGGGGAGTACATAATTACCAGTACCTTGCATGCGCCTTGGGCTGCTCCAGATGTTTCTGCATATCAGGGAGGATAAACAGCTGGGCGTACCCGACACTTGCAACAGGCACAAAGCTGCACAGACTCATTTCCATCAAGGCAGTGATCAAAAAGAACACCTTTAATTCATGCTGTAAGCTAAACTTTCTGAAGTTGGTTAAAGGATCTTTGCTGCAGACGATCAAATGTGCAAATTTCCCTCACTGTTACCCAGACCCACTGGGTAACAGTGCTGTTGGATGCAAGAGTTTAACCTATAACTGGAGGATTGTGTCGTTTGCTCCTTGGGCAAGACACGTTAGCCACATTGCCCACTGATGGCAGTCTGAGGGCCCAGCAGGGCCTGTGTACAACCCCCTGGGGCAGTTGTTCCAATGTATCTTCCCACCATCAGTGTGTGCATGAATGGGTGGATGACTTAATATAGTGTAATGTGCTTTGGTAAAGTTTCCTGACTTGGAAAAACACATAAAAAAAGATAACACATTTAACAGTACAAAACACGTAACAGGTCAACACATGTAACAGTACAAAACACGTAACAGGT